AATCATTTTCAAAGATACCAAAAATTTCTAAACATAAATCCAAAAGGCATATTATTTATAATTTGAAAACCTATTCAACAATCTTATAACTTCTCAAAATAACTTCTAAAAGGATCTTTAAATTTTAAATCAATGTCAACGATACCAAAATTTTTCAAAATAATCCAAAAGGCAAATTATTTGCAATTTTGAAACATTTTTATTGTACTAAAACTTTGCAAAATTATTCCAAAACAATTTACAATTTTAAAAATTTTCATCAATATCAAAACTTCTCGAAATCACTTCTAAAAAGGTTTTCAAATTTTGAATCATTCTCAACGATGCCATAACCTTTCAAAATAATCCAAAACGTATAATATTTGCAATTTTAAAGCATTTTTTTTATACTAAAACTTTTCAAAAAAATTATATTTACAATTCTAAAACCTATTCAACAATATTAAAACTTCTCAAAATAACTTTTAAAAAGAATTTTAAATCATTCTCAACAATGCCCATAACCTTTCAAAATAATCCAAAACGTATATTATTTACAATTTTAAAGCATTTTTTTTATACTAAAACTTTTCAAAATAATTTTAAGAGGTATTTACAATTCTAAAACATATTCAACAATCTTAAAACTTCTCAAAATAACTTCTAAAAGTGTTTTGAAATTTTAAATCGTTGTCAACGATGCTAAAACCTTACAATATAACCCAAAACGTATATTATTTACAGTTTTGAAGAAATTTTTTTTTTTTATACTAAAACTTTTCAAAATAATTCTAAGGTATTTACAATTCTAAAACATATTCAACGATAGTAAAACTCCTCAATACACTTCATCACATCATTGTATCCCATGGAGCAAAAAGTTGGGACATCGTTATTTTAAACTAATAAATCGTCTCGACATGTAAGCAAACAGTGTGTAATTAATGACGTCAAGCCACAAGCCACATTTTTCAAATAAATATAATTTCTGGTCACCCTCACAAAACTAAGCATACGATCTCACGATTCCTCAACCCCACCAACGAGGATGAAGTGATGGACGACACGAGGGGGTCAGGGCAAGTCAGGTCTACCCATAAAAAATGACGTCAACCTCCCGCAGGTACTCCCTCGCCATCGTCTGCCTTAGAGCACCCCTCTCTCTTTCTCTCTCTCTGACCTGTGTTCGACCCTATCTTCGTTTGCAATCTCTATCCTCTGATATTTCGGGCAGTTACAGACAATCTTATTTTGTTGTTCCCAGAAAATAGATATTTGAGTTTAAAATTCAGGTTTATATATATGTATATTTTCTTTTTTATATTATTTTATTTTATTATAAATGTATATATCTACATATATATAGGTAATTTGGGCAATGAAATGATCAAACAAATGAAGTTACATAATTTTAATAAAGCGTATAGAAACATTGCTATTGTTCCTGTAAAGTTTTTATTTTCCCATAAGCGAGAGCATAAGTAGGTAATGTGGAGATTATCTAGATAGTTTGTAGATCATCTAGGTAGTTCGTAGATTATTTAGGTAATTTGAGAAATGAAACAATTTTTGTGCTTTAAAAGGAACACCCTAGTTAATAAGACGATCTTTATAACTAATTTCTACACTTTAGTGGTAACATTTTCTCAGACTAAAGCTTATACTACAAACGTACTGACAAAGAAAAGAAAAAAAAACGCAAAATATTTTTTTTTAAAAAAATTCAGAATTCTAGTAATAAATTTTATGCATAAAATTCCAAGAGCTATTTTATATGTTTCCACATCTGTTACTACATTTTTTTCTTTTAACACGAATGCATTTTCTCTCCCTTTCACTTGCGGCATACAAAAATATGTCTCGAATTTATTCCACTTGTTATCTGTGGAGCAAGAAACATGTTTTTCTGAGTTATGGCATCCAAATTTATATGTTTCTATTCACAACTTCTATTCGTGGAAAATGTGAAAGTGTAGTGAACAGGAAACTGTTTTGCTCTATTTTTTTTATAAGTATTTTAACTCTTACCCATTTGTGTAAGAAACATACTCTACATTTGTATGTATTTATACTTGAATTTTAGTAAGAGATAGAATATTCTGCAATTTTTCTTACATTTGAAGCACGGATAGCCTTGTCAACATCAGTATGTGGCAAAACCCGTGGAAGAATATCAATGCATTGAATTTTAAAGGAAGGAATTCGTGCTTATATATAACGATATATAAATACGGAGTTCATAAAATAAAGTTTAATAAAATATTTGCTGTAGCTATATTCGAGCGGAAAGTTTTTTTTTTTTTCAATGAATTCTTTTTAAGAATAAAACGCGCATGCTTGGCATCAGGTCAACTTGAATACGCATAATTTTCTGAAGAGAGAGGTGATAACTCGGATAGAGCGTTCGCCTTCCAATGAAATGAGCCGGGTTCGAATCACAGCGGTGACTGGTCGATACGAATTCCTCACGTATCTCGCACCGACCACAGTACAGACGTAGAATATCCTCAGTGGTAAACGGATCATGGGTTCGAGTTTCCTTGCCGTCATGCTAACCGTGGGATGTTTCAGTGTTTTTCCTTTCTATGTAACGCAAATCCGGGTTAGTTCCATCAAAAAGTTCTCCACGAAGGCAAATTTTCTCTCAATACTTGATCCAGGAGTTCCCTTGTCTTCTGGATTGGGTTCAAATTGACAAGGCTAAGGAGTTGAACATTATCAGTTGTAAAACCAAAAATTGGGCCGGCTGCTCAACGACGGTTATAAAATTAAATAAAATAAGTGTAATTTCCCGAAGTAAGTAAATCGATTGTTTATAGGTGTGGTCAATTGAAATAGGTTGGGTTTCTTTGCTAGAATAGCGAACATTGTAAAAATTTCAGGAAATGTTCGAGAAAAAAATAATTGTAAAATGTAATGTCTACAGCAATTTTTAACTCTAAACAAACTATTAGCAACAAAGCTAAAACTCTAAAAATAACGGGTCACTGTTAGTTTTGGCTTCAGCCACTAACAACAGAAAGGCTCCTGTGTGTTTGCAGGCAGTGTGTCCCCTGATGAAGAACTGTTCTGCAATCACACAATTATATTTTATTTTTTATTATTAAGTAATTTTGTGTTTTTACTAATAAATAAAAATAACAACTAACACTAAAAATTACGAAGCTGTCTAGTTTTCTAAATTGCATAAATTGTACCCAAGTGAGCCCTCTAATACAAATTTTTATAGTTTGAAGGAGATAAAAAACGTTACGAAATACAAAATTTCTTAGTATTTAAAAATAAAAATTTTAAATGTTATCCAGATAAATTTTTTACTGTATATTACATGCAATTAATCTCGACCGCAACATATCTATAGTTCTATCACATTTTGTATTTCTAAATTTCTCTTAAGATAAAACAATACAAAAGAATTTTGAATTTCTGAATGTATATGAATATATATCTGACTATAATAACTATAATATATAGTTAGCTATTTTAATTGGATGACTGAGTATAATGGAATTCAGAATATCGAATTGTGTACTCGAATATTTGGTTGAGATAACTCAGAATAATATAATTCTTTATACTGAATTGAATATTCAAATATTTTATTTAGATAGTTAAGCAGAATGTACTGAATCATTTGATTTCGGTAACTGAATACAATTTAATTCAATATACACTCAAAATTTCATGCCTTCACTCAAGCGGGAGAAAATGTGACCAGGAAATAAACCAGTATTTGAAAATAATTTAAACAAAAAATAATTAACTTTAAATCTATAACACTGAGACAATAAGCGATACGGATTATTTGAAAGAAGCAACTAAGGCTTTATTGGTTGAACATAATTATTTTATCTGAAGATAATGTTGTTTGTATCGCTTCAATACAATGGAGAATAATTATCCATTGTCAAAATATTAAGATGATGAATAACAAATATACATAAAATGATTTATGATCCTAGCTAAAACGAAATGATTATATACGTTGATTGGAACACTTGTATCGTTAAATAGCCAAATTAGTATATCAAATAAGCATATAAATAGGTGAATGCTTCTAATTTGGAGTTATTAAACATGAAGTATCAACTTATTCAACAATTTTAACGGTGGAAAAAGTAATCAAAAAACATTAACTATTTTGCTTGACTGTAAAAGTTACTTTATAATTTATTTTAATTTACGGTACTTATCTTTCAAAGCGGGCTGCGAGAAAATTGCCGTACTGTTATTAACATCAGTTTTAATTAATTATGCTGATAGATGCCATTGGTATTCTGTTGATTGATACCTGAAATCGAATTTTTCCAAATACAACTTTTTAAAATTCGATAACTCAGAAACTAGTCGACAGATTTTATTTCAAATTTGTTATTTTGTCATTTAAAATATATTTACTTCAAAATATTGCAAAAGTTTGTATACTTTAAAATTCAAAATTTTTTTCAGTATATATTTCAAGAAATTATATAGGATAAAAGATTATTGAAAATTATTTTTTTTAACTTTTTTTACGAAGTAAAAAAGTATTGAAAATTATTTTTCACTTTGCATTACTTTTGAATTACCACATTTATAATTGCGCGCAAGTTTTTCAATTTACTTAAATATTTCTCAAATTATTGCAAAAAAGCTCAAACTTTTGGGACCTTATTTTACAGATTGAGGCTACCCCGTACATTTTGAGGTTATCCGAGTCCGGGTCTAAAAAAGGTTTAAAAAAAAAAAAAAAAAAAAAAAAATGAAAAAAAAATAAAAAAATAACGTGTTTGATTCCCAACATTTTTCAACATTACTAACGGGTATATTCTTATAAAATCATTACTAACCGGTATATTCTTATAAAATTATTGCTAACGGGTATATTCTTATAAAATTACTGCTAACGGGTATATTCTTATAAAATTATTACTAACGGGTATATTCTTATAAAATCATTACTAACGGGTATATTCTTATAAAAATGGAATTGAATATAAACTAGAATATTTGTCGTAATCAACAGACGATTAAAAACTCACCAAAGAGGGATAAAAGGCTGAAGATTCAACTCCCGTGAAGTTGGGATAGGCTTGATGCTCGTAGAGCCTAGGATGGTAGGTTGTAAGTAGCCTGGAGTCGTAGGTGGCAGGCAGTGAACAAACAGCTGAGGACTCCACCACCCCCGAAGACGTTCTCCCCGAAGAATCTCCCCCGCAGCACGGGGAGGAGACGGAACTCGTGCTGGTGCTCCCTACCATCAGCTGCAGAAAGAAGAAATGTAATTAAAAAAAAAAAGAACAAGAAGAAACCATAGCAAAGATATTCGATTACAACCACTGCTTATTTATTTGGAAAGGAAGGAGGGGCTTAAGAACGTCATGAATGTATACGGGTATCGTCTGAGAAAAAATAAGGTTTACTCTCTTTAGAACATTAGAGTTTTTTTATGAATCGAATGCAGTACAATAAGATTTACGATACAATATAATAAGAATGCAATATAATAAGTAAAACAACGCAAAAACAAAACTAAAAAAGCACAAATATAAATACAGAAATGGACATATGTACTGTAGTTTCCGTTCCATTTTATATCCGTCGTTGAACAGCCGACCCAATTTTGGGTGTACGACTTCTAATGTTCAACTCCGTAGCCTTGTAATTTGAACCACTCCAGAAGACAAGGAGGCTCCTATATCAGTACCCCCAGAGGTTTTGATTTGCTATGGGAACATAGAGGACTTTGTGACTCGACAGATTTAACGTGCATCAGTCACCATTTACTACACGGAGAGTCTTCCGCCGGCGGGGTCATTTCAAAGGAAGGATATTATTGATGCACTCAATTTCTTAGAGGAAATAAAAGAGCATTAAAAACACTTCACGAAATTGCAAGCATTTGATAATTTCCAGCATTTCTCAAATTAAATATTCGCTGTTAAGACAGGCATGAAAGGTTGAATTGAATCAACAAATTCGAAAGAAAAAAAAAGTTTTAGAATAACAAACCGGTTCATGTAAACATGATTAAATATTTATGTTTAAAGTACTTCATGTTTAATATAAGCCAATTTTTCTTATTCAAAACCAATTTGAACATAGGTGAAAATTAATTTATCGGGCAAAGATCGGTTCCTTAAAGTAGTCACTACATTTCGAAAGTAGTTTATAATCATTACATTTAAAAAAAAAAGTAGCTGTAGTTAACTTCATTTGTAACAAAGTAGTTGTAGTTAATTACAAAAATAATGTAGTTTTCCGACCACTGGCCTAGAGGAAGTTTTTCTTGTCTATAAAACCGAAATTGTGGTATGCTCTTTTCCGTACTTTGCTAACGTTGTTTTTCTTTAATCTATGTAGAACAAAGTATATTCTAGCATGTATTTTTTTTTTATACAATAAGTCAAACCCTATAGCACTAAGTTTTCATTACTTGAATTCGTATTCTGAATAGTCGCACTGTAAAAGAAGTCGAAAGCAACATTACGCGCGAAACCAGTTAGATTAAAATTTTCCCCGACAAAAAAATGTACCGTAATTTTATGAGATCATTTTACGGTCATGAAACTAAATTAATTAAATTAAATTAGTTTTCCGAAACTTTCTTAGGTGCTTAGTTAAGTTGGGTGGATGAAACTCAATTCTGATACAAATATTTTGCGGGGCTTCCAAATAAGTTGGATCTTTTTAAGAAAAAAAATGATTCGACCGTTTCTTAAAAAATATGTGACTTGCCTTTAGAAAACTACATTCGATTTAAAGTAAATACTGGAATTAATCGGTTTGAAATTAATATATTTACTGGTCTGTGGTCGTAAACAAATTTTGATTTTCTTTTCTTAATTTTTTAAGTAAATTGTGCTAAATATTATAATTTACTTAAGAATAAGCTATATTTTAATAAAGGAGCTATATTTTTCAATCGAAGTGAAGTAAATATATAACGTTAGATAGTAAGACTGAACTACGTATAAAACTTTAAACAAGCCAGCTTTGTATTTGTTATTTGTAGCCAATTCTACAAATTAAAAACGTGAAGAAAACTAAACTTATTTCACTTTTTTCTTTATTCTGATTTCCTTTAAAAAAATAAAAAAAAGAAGAAGGAGAAAAAAAGAAAGAAAAAAATATTTATATTAATATTGAAAATCTTTTTTTTTATGAAGATTGCGAGAAAGTTCAATATAAGTTATAATATTGCATTACATTTGTTAAAGTTGTTTTCGAAATTTAAATTTTAGATTACAGAATAAACGAAAGTCATAAGCTATGTTTAGAGGAAGAAAAACACATCGTTAATATTCAAATTTAAGAACATGCTATAATCAGCTGTGTTTATTATCGGCACTTTTAAATAATTCAGGGAAATCTTCATGAAGTGATTTTTATTGGGTAAAAAAAAAAAAAAAAATCTTGAAAAACACTTCTTAGTACTTCTAAAAACGATTTTCTCAAATGTTTTCAAATAGTAGATTTGTTAAAAGGATATCCTCATTCTAACGACTTAAAATTACTGATTAAACTATTTCAAAGCATGAAATATTAAGAATTATATATCAGGTTTATTGTTCTCTTTTTTTTTTNTTTTTTTTTTTTTTTTTTTTTTTTTTTTTTTTTTTTTTTGCAGATGCTTTCTTTCTTTTTTTTTTCTTTTTTTTTAACACAAAAAAAAAATAAACTTCATATAAAGTTTTCCTTCCTTTATATTTTATAGTAATATTTAATGGGAATAAAATACTAAATTACGTTGTACTTTCTACCTAAGGCTGCCATTTGCATATATTAGTGCAAAAAATATTTTTTCAAACAGTAGATTTGTTCTAAGGATACTCTAATTTCTAATTACTTAAAACTACTTCACTAGAAAGACGGAAAATTAGTATATACCTATATTGCCGAAAAGCAGTCAAAATGACTAGATTGTGAAGGCGTCAATAAATTTGTTTAAAATTAATTTTTAACATTTTTTATATTATTTACAGTTTATTAGTAAATATTAACAATAAAAAAAATTAAATGTTGTTCAAAAAGTCACAAAACTATAAGAAATTGTGTCATTGTATACATCATTGTTCTTCTAATTGAAATTAAAAGCAGTCAAAATTACTTCCTTAGACAATCTAATGTTAAATAATACTAAGTAGAAAAAGAATTTTTACTTCTTCTTTACAAACTATTTGTTTTTCCAGCATGTTAAGATTATTCTGAAATCAAACACTCATTTAAATAAACTCTGTAACTGGTTTTTCAAAAGGAAGAAATACTACAAGGAAACAAAAAGAGTTAAATGAAATATAGCATGAAATTAAAAACTCTAACCTTAACCTAACTTAAAATCTTCCCACACATCATTCAGACAGAGATTTGTTTTCCAAACTAACCGAATCGGTGATTATTCTCACGCTTTGATTTAGAAATGGCGTTGCTTTTTGTGAGCAAATCAAAAGAAAAAAAATGAAAACAAAAAGAAACAAAATGAAATAGCAATTTTTTTCCCGTAGTTTCAATCATTATTAACCTTTGAATGTGTACAGAGGGGGGTACGAAGGCGAGAAACCGGTTTTCCTGCCAACTGTACATAAATATCTCCTTAGCTTGAGAAACGAAATTGATATATTTTAATTCAGAGACAATCTCTATACGTGATTCGGTTTTGAGTTGATTTTCTAGAGACAGCGGGATATGGGGCATATACACACACTCACTTGTCTGAGACATCGGGGGGTCTTCTGGTGTAGAAATCGATTCCCAAGCATTAGGAAGGTCCCAGCCCGGATTTGGGAAGCCTCCTTTCTCATCATGGGCACCTTATTTCGCGCCCTGAAACCTGAAGTGTAGAACAACCTAATTTGCCACCTACCCACTCACGAGAGTCTTTATGAGGCTGTTAGCCAACGTTTCTCATTCATAAATCTGCTACTGTGAATAAATTTAACATGGTGGGGGGAATTTAACTCAACTAGCGCTCTCTCGCCGGGATCTAATCTTCATTACATGAATGGAAATAATTCTAGGAATTTATGAATGAGTTCGTTTCAATTACGTTGATTTTCTATTCACATTCTATTTTGGCGGCGAAATTAATCATTCAGTCGCCAACTGATTCCATTGCTTATGAATATGATCTCATAAAGTTAACTCGAGAATATGATAGCATGAAGTTTACAAAAGAATATGATCATATAAAGATTACTAACGAATTTGATAACAAAGATTACTAATAAATATGATCACATAAAGATTGCTAATGAACATGATCACATAAAGATTACTAACAAATTTGATCATATAAAGATCACTAATGAATATGATCATGTAAAGACAGCTAATGAATATGATCATATAAAGATTACTAATAAATATGTTCATATAAAGATTACTAATGAATATGATCATATAAAGATTGCTAATGAATATGATCACATAAATATTACCAATGCATATAATCACATAAAGATTACTAATGAATATGATCATATGAAGATTGATAATGAATTCAATCGTACAAAGAGTACTAATGAATATGATCATATAATTGATTACTAATGAATCTTTTCACATAAAGATCACTAATGAATATGATCATATAAAGATTTCTAATGAATGTGATCACATAAAAACTACTTATCTGATCACATATAATAATATTACAATTGAACAAGATCCACAATGTGAATATGGTTTTGGGCTAGAGATGTGAAATTTTTTGTTATATTCTTTTGGAAAATAGTATTAGGAATATTCTCTTCAAATGGAATGTTCGAAAATATTCTTCTAGCCAACATGTTAATTATAATTAATAGTATTTCACAATTATTATTTAAATTATCACAATTATTATTATTCCCAATTATTATTCACAATTATTATTCAAAAATACAATAATAATAAGAATAAATATAAACAATTAATAAATTGGATCACATTATATAAATATTTTAGTACATTCCATTCAAGATTTATTTTTCTGGATAAAATAGCTATACACTAATGGAAAATGAAAGAGAAATATTTTTCAGAAAATTGTTCTCAAAACGTTAAAATAATTATATCATAGTCAGCCTTTAATAATGTCTCAAAAATAAATAAAAAATGTAAAAGGAATAAGCATAAATATAATCAATTAAAAAATTCAATCATATTTTTAAAAAAATAATACTTTTCATTTGAGATTGCAAAAAAAAAGTAACAAGGGCTCAATAATTAAAATGAAACATTCTTTGAAAACTGTTCTCAAAATTCTGAGTGACAAATTTTAGTT